CGCGTGCGCAGCACCTGGCAGGCTGCCGGCCGAGCCAGCCCGACTGCCCGGTTCAGCGGACCGGCAGTCCGGTCCAGACCGGTTCAGACCGACTGGACCGGTTCAGTCAGTACTTGTCAGTTTCAGTCCCGTTTCTCAATTTAAGTATCATTTTCAGTTAAATTCCGGGTTCAGTTCAGCTCAGTTAATTAGTATCAGTTCAGTTTCGTACTTAACCGGTTTCAGTTATACCGATTAAGTCCGAATGTCATGTCAGGTTCAGTAGAGCATCTTAACATAATTAAATAGTTAAATTATCAGTCCGAGCATAGTCAGTAGTAATTGTTTATATTATTTTCAGTTTGATCAGGCATCAGCACTACCATTCAGTTTCAGCAGTTCAGGTGGGGACTCAGACTAAGTACTACATTGTTTATAATTACGCTACCATGTTCGAGGTATGTATATTCAGTATCCGCTCGGAATGGTCGCCGGTCCATTCTGGGTTCTAGTGGCCTAATCTAACCACTAGAGTGTGCACATGGTCCGGTATTAGTTTGTGCCGGCAGATTCCGGTATTAGTTTGTGCCGACAGATATTCAGTGATCAGTTACGTGACTTATGTCGCGAGATCAGACCGGTATCAGATATCAGTTTCAGTTTCAGTTTCAGTTCAGTTATATATGCTTAGATCATGATATTGTTATTCTTTACAATGTTTACATTAGTATGAGTTTCTGCGGAGCACAAGTGTTTTAGTGCTCACGCCCCCACGCATTTCATGTTTTTCAGGTCGCAGGGTCGGGGTCGAGGAGTGAGCTGGCGGGTAGTTCAGTATATTTTGTGAATATATGTATATATGTTTTGCCACGCAGATGTTTCCGCTAAAACTATCAGTACTTATTTTCAGCTTTTGTTCCGACGTTAGTCGGTTAAGAAATTATACCCGTTTTTATTTATTAGTTTAAAATTTTAACGGTTTTCAGAAAAATCAAGTTTTTCACGGTAGCATCCCGAATCAGTTTTCGCAAAATAAATATTTTATTATTTATTCAGAAAATTGCGAAAAACGCGTACTCTGATAGTATTAAAAAGTCGGGGTGTTACAATTGGTATCAGAGCACGTTTCTGCGTCTCTGAAAAGTTTTTCAGTCAGTAATTTTTAGAAAAACCTGAACCGTCACGCTCACGCCTCGCCGACTCCACGTAAGTGCTGATTCTGTTTTCAGTTATAAACATATTACTTTGTCTATGCTCAGAAATCAGTAATCAGATTTAGTTAAGATGCTCGAATCAGATTCAGACTTTAGAGTTCAGATATAACTCTAGAATTCAGTATATTCAGACATGACTTTAGAGATCAGAATATGCAGACATGACTTTAGAATTTAGTATCTTCGATATGACTCTAGAGTTCTTCAAGTTTCACGTCAGTATTTAACGGCCATTTTTGGCAACTCGTCAAGAGATCTGTGTGCCTTAGTAATCAGTCAGAATATTATCACGTGTTCAATAATTTTGAACTTTTCCAATGTTCAGATGTCGCCCCGTAGGGAACCCGATCATCCGGCCCCTACTCAGGCCACAGTAGTCGCACAGTTCCGCGACTATCATGCCGAAAAATTCTCAGGGCAGGGAGATCCTCGCATCGTAGACGAATGGATTCAGGGCCTGGAGTTTATCTTCGAGGTCATGGATTGCCCTGATAGATATCGCGTAATTTGCGCCCAGCTTCAGCTCACCGGTGATGCCAGACTCTGGTGGAACGCTTACTGGAGCATGCGTCCCGACGAGAAGGCGAGATGTACGTGGGATATGCTCAAGGAGTTAATCCGCGAGAAGTACTACCCCACTTACTACCGAGCAGAGATGGAGCGTCAGTTTCTATCGCTCCAGCAGGGTACTCGTACTGTTGACGAGTATGAGAGGGAATTCACTAGACTTGCAGCTTTCGTTCCTGATTTGGTTCGCACGGAGGCTCAGAGAGCGCAGCATTTCATTGACGGGCTTTACCCAGCAGTCCGTCATAACATCGTAGGCCACGGGACACAGACGTACGCACGTGCAGTTTCCATTGCTCAGGAGGTGGACGCCAGCATCAGGAGGGAGGCCGTCCGTGATCATCCTCAGCCATCCGTTCCTGCTCAGTCATCTTCAGTTCCACCGATGCCAGCTTTACCAGCTGCCCAGTCATCTAAAAACAGCAAGAGGAAAGGGAAAGGTGCCCCGACGGAGGCTACAGCAGATCCCACAGTGCCCGACATGCGGACGACTTCACCGAGGCGAGTGTCGCTTTGGTCAGGATGTATGCTACTACAGTCACGAGCCCGGACATTTTGCGAACCGTTGTCCGAAGAAGGCGCAGCAGCCTCAACAGCCTCAGCAGCTACCGCAGCAGCAACAGCCCCGTCAGCAGGCATAGAGGCCGCCTCAGCAGCAGCAGCAGAGGGGCAGACAGCAGGCCCGAGTTTACGCAGTCGATCAGGCAGAGGCCGAGCAGCAGCCAAGTACTATGTCAGGGATGGTTGTTCTTAATAATGTTCCTGTGTTTGCTTTGTTCGATACTGGAGCGACACATTCTTTCATTTCACGACGATGTCTTGATGCCATCGGAGTTCATGCCGTTACCGCTGTCGATCCTCTCGAGGTGAGTTTTGCCTCGGGACGAAAGATAGTGATTTCAGCTAAAGCTTCAGATCTTAGCCTTTCCATCGGTGGCCGAGTATTGTCTACCGACGCGTTTGTTCTCGAGATGAGAGACTTCGACCTTATTCTCGGAATGGATTGGCTATCCTTTTATCATGCAGATATCAGATGTCACGACCGGGAGATTACTTTTTATCTTCCGGGAGACGAGTTGATCACTTTCTTTGGCTCCAGGAATCGTTCATTGCCTCATGTTGTTTTGATGGCGAAAGCCACTAAGTTGCTGCGACGAGGCAACTGCCAGGGTTATCTGGTGAGCCTTGTCGACATTCTCAGAAAGCACGCTCACCTCACGATGTTCCAATTGTTCGTGAGTTCGTGGACGTGTTCCCAGACGAGCTTCCAGGAGGACCACCTAACCGGCAGGTGGAGTTCTCTATTGATCTCATTCCAGGAGCCGGTCCAGTATCCAAAGCCCCGTACCGTATGGCGCCAAAGGAGTTGCAGGAGCTTAAGACTCAAATTCAGGAGTTATTACGACTCAGTTTCATCCGACCGAGCGTGACACCTTAGGGAGCACCCGTTCTCTTTGTTAAGAAGAAGGACGGATCCATGCGTATGTGTATCGACTACCGGGATCTTAACCGGTTGACGATCAAGAACAAGTATCCGCTTCCCAGGATCGACGACTTATTTGATTAGTTTAGGAGAGCCTGTGTATTCTCAAAGATTGATTTACGATCAGCTACCACCAGCTGAAGATCAAGGAGTCAGATATCGCTAAGACCGCTTTCAGGACTCGTTACGGCCATTACGAGTTCGTTGTCATGCCATTCGGTCTCAGCAATGCGCCAGCAGTTTTCATGGACCTCATGAACCGTATTTTCCATCCCTACCTCGATCAGTTCGTTATTGTCTTTATTGACGATATTCTTATCTACTCGAAGAGCCAGAAGGAGCACGAGGAGCATCTGAGGGTGGTTCTCAAAACCCTCAGACGAGAAAAGTTGTTTGCAAAATTCTCCAAATGCGAGTTCTGGCTCCAACGAGTATCATTTCTGGTCATGTGATTACTCAGGCAGGTATCGAGGTAGATCCTTCCAAGGTCTCAGCTGTTCAGAACTGGTCGACACCGAGGAGTCCGTCCGAGGTTCCCAGTTTTCTCGGTCTAGCTGGATATTATCGCAGGTTCATTGAGGGCTTTTCCAAGATTGCCCTCCCACTATCGCAGCTGACGAGGAAGTCTGTGAGGTTCGAGTGGACTGACCGATGTGAGTCGAGCTTTCAGGAGCTCAAGAAGAGATTAACTTCAGCTCCGGTGTTGACTATTCCCGATCCTTCTCGGAGTTTCACCATCTTCAGCGATGCTTCGAGACAGGGCTTGGGATGCGTCCTTATGCAGGATGGCCAGGTCGTCGCGTATGCTTCACATCAGCTTAAGCCACATTAGCAGAACTATCCGACGCACGACTTGGAGTTAGAAGCAGTCGTTCATGCTCTCAAGATTTGGCGACACTATCTTTACGGCGGTCATTGTGAGATTTTCACAGATCACAAGAGCTTGCAGTATATCTTTACTCAGAAGGAGCTCAACATGAGACAGCGCCGTTGGTTAGAGCTCGTCAAAGATTGCGACTGCTCCATTCAGTATCATCCGGGAAAGGCGAACGTCGTTGTGGATGCCCTAAGCCGAAAGGTGAGGGGTGACTTCACGTACGTCATTACCCAGCAGAGTCTGTTGATTCAGGAGTTTGCCCGGATGCAGCTTCATGCGATCGATGCACTTCCCACAGCTGTTTTCGGGAGTGTCAGTGCCAGTGTCAGTGCCATGCAGATTCAGCTGAAGCTGAGAGAGAGAATCCGGCGAGAGCAGGCTTCGGATGAGTTCATTCGTGTTATGGAGGCCAAGGTTCGCGCCAGAGTCGTCGAGGGTTTTCAGCTAGGTGCCGATGGTGCCCTAGAGTTCAGAGGCAGGATCGTGGTCCCGAAGGTCGAGGCGTTGCAGAAGGAGATATTATCAGAGGCTCATACCGCACCCTATCTAGCTCATCCCGGGAGCACGAAGATGTATCACGACCTGAAAGGGTCGTTCTGGTGGCGAGGCATGAAGAAAAACGTCGCCGAGTTTGTCAGGAGGTGTTTTACCTATCAGCAAGTCAAAGCCGAACATCAGAGTCCGATCGGCCTCCTGCAGCCACTGTCGATTCCAAGGTGGAAGTGGGAGGAAGTCACGATGGATTTCGTTGCGGGATTGCCGAGGTCGTCTGAACATCATGACGCTATCTGGGTCGTGGTCGATAGGTTGACTAAGGTCGCGCATTTCTTACCCGTTTCGATGAAGATGTCTCTGGACAAGTTGGCTGAGATATATACCCGTGGGATCATCCGACTCCACGGAGTGCCCGTTACTATCGTATCAGACAGAGATCCCAGATTCGTCAGCAGATTCTGGCACAGCTTACACGAGGCGATGGGCACGAAGTTAGAGTTCAGTTCAGCCTATCATACGGAGACAGACGGTCAGTCGGAGCGGACTATTCAGACGCTTGAGGATATGCTTCGGGCTTTGGTTGTTGACAGGGGTGCTAAGTGGGAGTCGTTGTTGCCATATGCCGAATTCGCGTATAACAACTATCATACTTCTATTCAGATGGCTCCTTACGAGGCACTTTACGGTCGCAAGTGTCGTTCCCCTCTTTATTGGGACGACGTCGGAGAGCGACGAGTACTCGGTCTTAAGTTGATCGAGGAGACAGCAGATCAGGTCGAGTTGATCCGGCAGAGACTCAAGACAGCTCAGAGTCGACAAAAATCTTCCGCCGATCATCATCGACGAGACATTCAGTTCGAGGTTGGCGAGCCAGCTTTCCTCAGAGTTCGTCCGATTCGCGGAGTCTTTCGATTCAGAAAGAGAGGGAAGCTGCACCCTCGATTTATCGGTCCGTTCGAGGTTCTCGAACGAGTAGGCGAGGTCGCGTATCGATTAGCCCTACCTCCCGAGTTATCATGCATTCATAATGTATTTCACTCATCTATGTTGCGTAAGTACGTGTGCGACCCCGATCATGTCATTCCCCATTCAGATATTCAGGTTCAGCCAGATCTTTCGTACGAGGAGCGACCGGTAGCTGTATTAGACCGTCAGGTTCGTCGGCTCCGGAAGCGAGATGTTCCCCTCGTGCGTATTCAGTGGGATCGCCACGGAGCTACTTGGGAGGCGGAGTCCGATATTCACGCTCGGTTTCCAGCTTTTCAGTTTTGATGTACATATTTTCTTATCCTATGTACATAGTTCATGTATTTTCAGTTATGTTTTGAATTTCCGAGGACGGAAATTTTGTAAGGAGGGAGGATTGTAATATCCCGTCAGTTTATCAGTATAAGTTATGTTTTTAGTTCCGATATTAATTTTCGGAATTAAATTATTTCAGTCAGTTCAGTCGAGATTACCGAAAATTATTTTCGACGTACTGGTTACGTTCGGAATAATTTTGGTAATTAAGCATTATGTTTAATTAAATAATTAAACATGTTTAAGTGGTTAATTGCCAATTAATCACAAGGTTAAGCCACAAAAACCGTTCGGAATTTCTTATTTTAGTCTCCAAAAGCCGTACGGTTAAGTAAGGCATATTAATGAATTTGTCCAAACTTTTCTTCCTTATTAAGAAGTTAAACGTGGCATCATTTTAAACTAATAGGTGACTAGTCATCTAAGAGAGTTTGGGTTGCTACAAGTGTCCTTAATTTCCTTATGACACATCCTAAGCCTCCATCATTCGGTTCCATATATAAAGAGGAGGTTGGGTGGAAAATTTTCCACTTCATCTACCATATATATTCCCCATATTATTCAGCATAAGTGAGAGAGGGAGTTGTGTTCATAAGCTTAGCACCGAGCAACCGCATGCTCAGTATTCACGTACGCGTAGCATCTCGCACGCCGCACGCCACACCGAGAGAAGGTAGAGCACGCACGCACCCGCGAACACCAAACAAGCGAAGAGGTAGTTCAGCTCTCGTATTGCTATGATTTATATTTCGTTTCTAAAGTAAATTAAGTTCATGTCATATCTCTCACATGTTGCGTGTTCGCCGTGCGAAGCGCGCAAGTAGATCAAGTCATGTTTTAAGTCGAATTTTCCGAACAATCTTCGTATGTTCAGTAACTTTATGTGACATCATGTTCAGATAAGCTTAAGAGTTCGGTGAATTATTCATGTTATTTGGTGTTTCGGCTAAAGGTGGTGTGGTTGCGCACGTAGCGCACCACGGGCCGTACACGAGTGTCAAGTATGTTAAGTTCATTTTCCCCGAGCACTTTACGTGATTTAATTCCGTAATCAGTGATCATGTTCAGTAAATTATGTTTTGACGAGAAGAAAGTGAGTTCGGTCGTGAAAGCGACTTAACGCCGTCGGCGGCGCACGATGCGTCCGCCATGGCCAAGTTCCGTTTATTGGGCAAACTTCATGTTTTCAGTTTAAATTTGTTCATGTGTTCATGTTATATCATTAGAGGTCAGAAAGTTCAGGAGTTGTTGCCGGACGGCCGGCAAGGGCCGGCCGTGGCCGCGCTGTCCGCACACAGCGGCAGCAGCGCGCCCG